TTTGTCATCACTGAGGCGAAACATGCACTCCTAATTATTGAAAATCCAAAAGCAGTGGACGAAACAAGATTCAGCACTCCGCTCTACACTGCATAGTGTATCCAATAGGCATGTTTTACTTCCACAATAGTTTTTAAATCGCTAAAAAACAGTAATGTAACGGCCCCTGTTTTTAAAAAAATCGTGTGATTCTTGTGTCAATAACATTATTAGCAGGCAACATGTTACTTATTATAAATATGACAATTTTAAACTTTTATCATTTCCGTCATCGATCAATAACATCTATAGATGATTTATAATAAACTTTTTGCGAGTCCCCGATATATCGGCACTGCTGCAAGTGCCATGATCACGGAATTACTGTACCCTTCGCACGAACCAATATCGAATTCGTATCGAATGCGAGTACGAAATGTCAATGGCAAAGGACATCGACGAAATCGGCCCTAGCATGCCCAAAAGAATGTCCTTCACTATTATTTTTCTATTATTTTTTTAACTTATTAGCAATTAATCATAGTGAACGGACAAAGTGTTTAAAAAACTAAAAATTAAAAGTTCTGTTACTAGATACTACAGTCTGTTCATCCAACTTGGCACTCCTTTTTATTGAAAATACAGCATTAAAAATCAACTGATAACTGGATTCAATAGGTTTCAGTCTATAATAACGTTTTATTTTAATAGTTTATTGGCTTCGTGAATATTTAATTATTTAATTTGTGATTCTGTTAAAAAGTTGTACCAAAATTGTTTACAGGCGACCATAGGTATTTATCAACATAAAAATAGAACTAGGTACCTTAGTTAACAATACTTATTACTAGTTATTATATTTATAAAAAGATTATTTCTGAAATTATGTAAAGATAGTTTATACTCCCATCCCATGTAATATCTGTTTATTTTTATAAAAATCATAATGATAACCTTACCTAATTACCAATAGTAAAATATAGAAACAGGTAAATGGAAAGACTTTGAACATTTCATTTGAAAAGAAATCTATTATTACTACAGGTACCTAGGTATAGGTATCATAGGTGCCAACTGACAACGCTCATAAATCAATATGAATATAAGCATTTATTAGTTTTATTATTAATTGCATTTTATGTTCATTTAATGCATATTATTTAAGTGCTTACATAGAGGTAAACACTAAATCTATTCAGAATATATAAAATGTACATCTTTTACGATTAAGTATAATAATTATAACCTCAAAATCTAATGCATTCTGTAGTAGGCCACGATTCCTCAAGTTGTCCGTATCTCAACAAATGCCTAATTAGAGTTTATAAATGATTCCGAACACAACTAGCATTTTCTCATTGCTGGGCGTTCTAGGGCATTCAATGTATGGGGAACGAGCAATGTCCTTTGTATGGAAACTTGAACAGCAGCGCCACAAATTACGTAACGGGAACTAAAAATCAGTACACATTTGACAATGACATTTCGGACTCGCGAACGTTACGAATTCTTTGTTTTGTTTCTGAACCACTACGGTCCCTATGATTATGATATAACCAAGAAAAATCATACTATTTTGGTACTACCAGTCAATTTGATTCCTGACTAGGGCTGCCATCTCTAAAATGTGGCAACCAGGATAAGACGCGTGATAACCCCGGATTTTGGAGCCCAGAACCCGGACAGACCAATAAAAAAACAGTTAAAAATGTCACAAATCAACTTTTTTTTATGTTGATGTAGGCAAAAGAGCTAGCGGTCTACCTCATAATAAGTGGTCACTGCTGCCCATGGACACTTGCAGCACCAAGGGTCACTCATGCGTTGCCGGCTCTGATCGAAAAGGTTCATCCGCCTTTTTAAGATTACCATATCATAGCTATAAGAAAAAAAAACTGAGGAAAGTTCGTTCTAGATCTTGCTGGTACGGAAAGAAAGGAACACATGGTGCTCGAACGCCAGGCGTCCAGATGGTGGGCGTGAAACTTCTCTGCGGTGTGTGGTGCTGTGAAGAAACTTGACCACTGGCACCCGGTTTAATAATTCCTCGGAACACTCTCCATTGATTGTATAGACGGTACGACACGTAGAAGGAGTTGCGTCCTTTTACGTGTTGTACCGTCTGCGCATGCTAAGGGGTTGCAACGCGTGAGTGAGCTCAGGAGCATCGATATGTCAAACTGCCCGCTTTAGTATCCGGTCAAGAGGAAGGAGCTGGTATTGGGGTGCACCAGCCCAGAGGACCAGTGCTTTGTAAAGTAACACCCAATATTTAGGCTTACTAGATCTATTGAATACACAAGCTTTTTCACACACATTTGTGTCTTTGCTGGGTTAATCCAATAAAATTTTGTTGGCTCCAATTTGAGACTTGATCCAGTAACATCTCAATCTCGGACACAAGTCTGTCTTTACACCCTTCTTCTTCCATCCGAGGGATGTTTGACCGGCCAGTGTTAAAAGTTTCAGTGCTGTCATCCACATAGCAACGAGTGCTGTTATTGCGGACAGTGTGGGCGACAAAGCTGATCTTTGTTGGAAGTCAGCATTTATGGTTACAGTGTTAGAATAGATTTATTTATTTTCAAAGACATATAAATTGAAGGATTATTTGGCGACCCAAAACAGGAAATTTTTAAACCCGGACTACAAATGAAACCCCGGCCGGACGCTCCCCGGACGCCCCGTAAACTAGGACAAATCCGGAGAAACCCGGACGGATGGCAGCCCTATTCCTGACCCACCACAAGCTGATTTTCTTACAACTATTGTAAAACAATAAGGTTAGACTTTCGCATACGTATTACTGGAAACATACTTAATTGACGTATCAGATTCCACCGCTCCCCTATGGCATAATGTATGTTGACGTAACTTTCTATGGAGTATGGAGTGGAGTTTTGCCAATAGACATAGGATTTCCCTGGATTTGCCCTTAGATTACCATAGCAGTTTTTTTTATACAGTATAGTTTTTTTTATAGTTAGAAATTCGAATTACAATAAAATTCGAATCATACTAATGTAATATTATAAAGGGGAAAGTTTGTGAGTGTGTATGTTTGTTACTTCTTCACGTCTTAACGGCTGGAGCGATTTTAATAAAATTTGGTATTTAGTTACCTGATACCCTGGATTAATACAGGCTACGTTTTACTGCGGGAAAATATCCTTAATAAACCGCGGGTAACACCCCGGGGCACAGCTAGTACTATCTAAAAGATTATGTACTGCTTAGAAAACAAAGGTAAATTTCAAAGATCTTTGATCTACATTAATACAGTTTCTTTGTAATTATAAGGTCCTCATCCTCGGTGCAAATACGAAGTACATTCATTGTTTATGAAAGAAAACTTGTTTGTTTTGTCATTTTTAAGCGAATAATCGGGCAAGTGGGAACATTAATCAATTTATATGTACATGTATATGTACTTGCTTATCAATAATGCTGAGACAGCCTATGATTGAACTGTTCCGTTGAGAGTGGTATAATCAATACATTTTCTAATCAATCAACATAGAACCTTATTTGCCTTCAACTATTACAAAAATATCGGCCAAGTGAGAATCCGACTCGTGTACCCTAATACAATATTTAAAACAAGATCGATCGAACAGTACCTAGTATACGCATTTTGTGCCATTTTCAGGTGTCTACTATTTCCGTTTAAGCCATTGAGACTTGTGAGTGATAGGCCGACAGCGTAGGCATATCAAACGGAAGGTTGACACCCTTTGGGTACGAATCACTAAAAATAAAGAGCACTTTCTACTATAAGGATAACAAAGTAGCCCTGTTAACTAACTAAATAATTGACGTTCTTTTCAAATTTTTTCTCTACATGGCTAAGTAGATCATTCCAGAAAATATTATGAGTAATATGACAAATTAACATTCATATCGTATAGTTATAACAATACCCTAAAAACTGCCGCCTACGCCCTTGGGAAAGATCCTATCAGATCCCTCATCTTTTTTATATAATCCTGGCAATTCATTATGGCTTACCACCTGTTGCGTTTATCTTTACTAAGTTGTCCATACTGGTATAGATATAAAGGTATATTTTTTCACACATCCGTATTAGTACATATAAGAACTTTTTCACATATATCTATTGTAGTACAATCAAAATAGAAAAAAGCTACATGGGCCCCTATAGCTGCAGAAAATCGTGAGGGGGACCGCGGCATAGGGCGAGGGCCCAAGCTCCCGCCATGGCCTCCCCAGAGATAACGTAAAAATATCAAATAGCCATGCATAATTGTTGTATAGAATACATACCCTTTATTCATTCGATCTGAAGCAGAATGCCAACATCGCGATATGGGCTCCTATAGCCGCAGCCCACAGTATCGTGAGGGGGACCGCGGCGCAGGGCGAGGGCCCCAGCAGCCGCCACGGGCCTCCCAGATATAATGTACAATCATCAAATAGCCATGGAAAGTATTTTAATGAAATTCATACCCAATATTCACGAGCGATCTGAAGCAGAATGCCAACATCGTGTCATGGGCCCCTATAGCCGAAGCACACAGCATCGTGAGGGAGATTGCGGCGCAGGGCGAGGGTCCCAGCAGCCGCCACGGGCCTCCCAGATATAATGTACAATTATCAAAAACCCATGCAAATTGCTTGAATGAAATTCATACCCAATATTCATGAGCGATCTGAAGCAGAATGCCAATATCGTGTCATGGGCCCCTATAGCCGAAGCACACAGCATCGTGAGGGAGATCGCGGCGCAGGGCGAGGGCCCCAGCAGCCGCCACGGGTCTCCCAGATATAATGTACAAATATAAAAAGCCATGCAAAGTGCTTGAATGAAATTCATACCCAATATTCATGAGCGATCTGAAGCAGAACGCCAACATCGCGATATGGGCGCCAATAGCTGCAGCCCACAGCATCGTGAGGGGGACCGCGGCGCAGGGCGAGGGTCCCAGCAGCCGCCACGGGCCTCCTAGATATAATGTACAATTATCAAAAAGCCATGCAAAGTGCTTGAATGGAATTCATACCCAATATTCATGAGCGATCTGAAGCAGAACGCCAACATCGCGATATGGGCTCCTATAGCTGCAGCCCACAGCATCGTGAGGGGGACCGCGGCGCAGGGCGAGGGCCCCAGCGCCCGCCACGGGGCCCCCCAGCTGCGTATGGACCGCGACCTTGCTGACATCCACCCGCCGAACCCACGGCTGTAGTACACCGACGTTGCTATAGTAATGTGGCTACTTAGTTCTCGTTTTGAATAACAGATGGCGTTGTCAGAAATTGTTATTTTTCTTTTGCCGGACAAATAACACTGTAAATAAATAAAAAGCATTAAATTGTTACATTAAGCCTGAATTAGAATTTTACGAGTTTTTCTAGTTAACTCCTTTTTTATATTTAATGTAATTAATTAATCAGTTTTTCATGTAACACTTTATTGGTAATATATTATTATTAATAAAATAAATTAAAAATAAAGGCGTGCTAGCGGCACGAATCGTCGCGCGAGCCCACTCGTCTCTACTCTCTACTGTACCTAAGTCGAAGTTGAAGCGGTACGCGGGAAAAAAATATCGGGATATTCTTTTATCGGATGAAACATTTTTCCGTAGAAGAGAGCTACAACAAACAAAATGATAAGGTGTACGCACACAGTAGTGAAGAAGCGAGCAACCGTATTCCGCTTGTTCAACGAGGTCATTTTCCATCCTCGCTCATGGTATGGATGGGAGTTTCTTATTGGGGCTTAACAGAGGTACATTTTTGTGAGAAAGGTGTAAAAACGAATGCAGTTGTGTATCAAAATACAGTCCTGACGAACCTTGTGGAACCTGTTTCTCATACCATGTTCAATAACAGGCACTGGGTATTCCAACAAGACGAATCTTGTTGGAATACCCAGAGCCTGTTATTGTGCCCGAAGCGCCAGCTCATAGAGCGAAGAGCACACAAGACTGGCTGGCGGCGCGTGAAATCGACTTCATCCGGCACGAAGACTGGCCCTCCTCCAGTCCAGATTTGAGTCCGTTAGATTATAAGATATGGCAAAACTTGGAGGAAAAGGCGTGCTCAAAGCCTCTTCCCAATTTGAAGTCACTCAAGACATCCTTGATTAAGGCAGCCGGCGATATTGACATGGACCTCGTTCGTGCTGCGATAGACGACTGGCCGCGCAGATTGAAGGCCTGTATTCAAAATCACGGAGGTCATTTTGAATAAACTTTAGTGTCATAAGAATCTATGTTTTGTTAAGTTCATTTTGGTATATAAATGGTTACATAGTGAATAAACTTGTTTCAATTATTTTGTATTAAACATGTGACAGAATTTATGACCTGACTAGGTATATGTATTAGTATATGTATTCTATCCGTTATCCTAGTATCCCATAACACAAGCCTTACAGTGCTTGGCTAATTGATGTGAGTGTTGGAAATATTTATTTATAGGCCTTTAGGGAGAAAGAGGCAGTAGATTGCTGATAACCTTACTTATGGCAGAAATATGATGGATCGGTGTTATATAACCGTCAATTGGAGGATATATTATTCCCAACCGGGCGCTCAAAATTCGAGCATAAAATTCCCCTGTACCCTTCCTCTTTCGTAAGTTTTAATCTGACCTTTGAAAAATCTAAATATGATATTTAATAATTTTATTAATTAGGTTCTCCTAGCCACAAGTACATTAAAAATATCTTAATACATAAAAACCATGGCCTAGTAAACATGAACATCTATATTTTTACTTTTTTTATTTAAGCGGTTAATATTAATATATTGAATAAAATTCATCGCTATTTCATGGATACGTACAGTACAATATTTCATGGATACATACAGTACGATAAATACAATCATTAATATTATTTCGATTGCACTGTGACATCTTTTCGCAAATTGCAGCAACAATTGATTCAGCTACAATTTAAAAAAAATGAATTGATGCTGCTGGACGTTGATTGATGTCAGATAACACAACATCTCTACTCTACTGACATCTTTTGATTGCACATAACATGATAGTTGGCCCACAGATATAGTTATGAAAGAGTTGGTCCATGCACAAGACCTGTAGGCCTATTCGTTTACTTTTTGAGATTTTCAGTGTAAGTTGCATATCCATCGATGCTTTTCAGAACAAGTATCTTAGTGGTTTTATAAAAAAGCAGAAGTGGATCAGTTAATAGCTTAGTGATCATTCCTGCCATCTGTCAAAAACTGTATGCAAACAGGCCTGTAGAGCACATGACAATGATGTCGATTCTGGCATGATTCTCTAAAGCTAAACTTAAATTTAACAACAGTGTATCTTTGTCATTCTCTATACAGAATGAAAAGGACAGACTGATGTTAAATTTAGTTTTAAGTTTAGAGAATCACGCCAGAATCGGCACCAATGTTCCCTAATTCCTGACAGCAGCAGCAGTTGACAGATCGATCTAAGTATCAGTTGACATGTAAATAAATACCATTGGACGGAGAATCTCGCTATGCATGTAAATACGTATGTATGTATGTTTTTGCCATGAATTCGCGATATATCGTTTTGAGGTTCAGAAACTTATTCAACTTTTCAATTACTTTTTCGTGGATTTTTCGGAAGCTCGGGAGACGGCATATGGATATGCATTATACGAATATGTGAACATAAATCACTTTATTTTTTTATAATTCGATCGCCCTGCGTTTATTGTTAACCTTAATGGCGACAATAAACGTTAATTATAGACAAGTAACTGAATGAAACTCAATTTGAATCGAATAAAAAAGTACTAACTATATTTTTTTGTTCCAATGAATGCGTTTAAAAACCTTGTGAAGTCCCACTATCTGACATTGTAATACTTTTATTTTTAATATCTCATGTTCTAAAAACTGGACTGGATCAATGTATGTATTTATACTTATTGTATCTATGTATGTATATATATCTTATATATGTATATGTGTATGATATGTATTTACTAATAGATTATATTATACTAGCGATTTACACCGCCGTCTCTCCCACTTCCTTCTAATCCTCTCCATCCAAAGGTTGCCTGGAAGATATCGCTTTAAGCGATAAGGCCGCCTATTGCATCACCTGTACTAAATGTTTTTGTGCAGAATGTTCAATGTTTATCGTGGTGTTTAATAAAGAGTTTTTGTATTGTATTGTATTGTTATATTTTTCATATTTTATTTTATTTTTTCACTTTAGAGCAGAACGAAGGAATGTTCATTTGTTCATAGTATAATATGCCAATAAGTTCAGAGTATAATAATAAATATACTGTAAAGAAGTGGTATAAGTAATCATGATTTTTTTGCAATATAAATACATACATAGCTAACTTTATAAATAATATGTTTCGAAAGATCAATCATACGTACGAAATCAAATTAACCACTTTGTTCGGTTTTGTTTATCCTTAACGTATAACAATATGATTATAATACTACTAGCGGACCGTCCCGGCTTCACACGGATGTATTAAGTAGTGTCTCTTATCTATTAGACAAGTCCGTCTGCCTGTGGTGCTGTTTCAGCGGCCAAACCGTAAGAGATAGATAAAGAGAATATTTAAGTTATAACTTAAGAATAGTCTGATAAGACTACAAACCGGATTTGAGTAACGTAGCACTTCCGGTTTTCGAGAAATCAGGTTTGGTGAACATTTGGTTCACTGGTTTGCTAGTGGAAACCTAATGAATCAGCAATCACCTGATTTTTAAGCTATGCAAAAAGTTTCTAAGTAAATAGGTAGAGTATATTAAATCTATTTGGCCATGGGCATGGTCATTCTGATTTTTCTGTTTAGCGGAATAAGAATTTATTTTAGACTTATAAGTTATCATTTTATCCCGGAATTACCAGGGGAACGGGAACTTCGCGGGTAAAATCGCGGGGCGGAGCTAGTAATAACACATTATCAGCAAATTATCGAATATATGATATCGAATTACAAAAAAATATGAAACATGTTTTTTTTAAGTTTCAGTTTAGTTTATCTAACCACTTGTCAGTCCGCAATTGTCCGGGACCCCTCGCCACATACGTATCCGTACGTTGCGCGGCCTGTAAAAACAGGACTCATCCGCTGGACTCTTGGATAAAAATGCCATTTTCTCGCTAGATAATGAAGTAATAATATCTTTTTTATGAGGGTAGTTTTGAAAAATGAAAACACAGATAGTATATTTATTTTATACGGAGTAGGTGTGCAGAATTTTAATCAATCCTGTGCACTTTTGGATGATCTCCCATACAAACTTTGACACGTTTATTTTTTTGAGGGTAGTTGTGAAAAAATATGTAACAGGCTTAGTGTACATCTATTAAATAATATTTATGCAAAATGAGCACTCAATAGGTCCAAGGGATAAGATTTTACGAACAAACGTTTTTTTGCAAAAAAATCACTTATTACTTGTCGAGGCAATAATAGGAACCTACTGGCCCAAATTCATCATTCTACGTCCAGCCATTTCGGCTGTGCGTTGATGAGTCAGTGAATCAGTCTGTCATGGTATCCTTTTCTCTCTTTATATTTCAAAAAACAGATTACACTTCAAACGCAAATGGACATACTTAACTCAATAAATCTTCCGGCTCTTCATGAAAAAAGCAAGTATCCCTGTTTTCCCCGCAGTGTCTGACTGGCAAAATTTTATCAAATCAAATCTGATTTAATATTTTCCTTTTATCATTCATCTCGCATTCTCCGATAATAAGGGCTGACGCATAATTGACGCAAGTCTGAGCCTCGGAAAATATAAATATTGCGTTGTAAAGTCATGACACTTGTAGATATCTGTAATATTCGTCATATTGCTAAGTCCTAAAGGCTGTCAATGAATTTAAATCCGCGCAATATAGGAATTGTTGTACTCGAGTTGTCGTGACAAGGCATTGTTACTCAGGAATTGTACTCACTTCGTAAATTAAAATGTCAAAGTACTTAAGCGTTCAGCGGTTATTTATGACAAACGCTACGTAGGCATTTCTGAATCAGGAAATGAGAGGGTAATTAATGAGATGTCTGAAAGTTAGATGATAGGTAGGGACGCGAAATTTCTGTGTAAAACGGAAACAGCCACAGAATAAAAATATAAAAAAAATTAGTTCCCTACTTATTTTTTATATCAAATAGTCTTAACTGTTATCTTGCAGAAGTTTTTATTGCTGACAGTTTTGAAGATCATTGGCATTACGAGGAATGGAATTGAGAGAAATTCAGACTTTTTATATAATTTAGAAATTATAAACAAAATTAATGAAACACTTATAACTTCCAAGTGCCAATAAGAATTTAAAACCTAAGATTTTGCAAAATAAAGAAATAGTAAAATCCCTTTTAGAACGGGCATGAATTTACACTATTCTTTAACCTTCTCGATCTTATTCAGGTTCCGTGTTATCAACAATAGAGCCGCTAAGCTGTTTTTTAAATCACGGAAAAACAAAAAAAAAACCTAGTCAGCAATCCATTTCTTTCAAAAATCTTCAAATAATCCCTTTTATCGCAGAAAAATACCAAAATAAATAAATACAGCATTGTTACAGTCTGTGCGGAAAGAGAATGGGATTTAGATTGCAGGGCGCTGTAGTGCTTTTCTACCGTATTTGTAAGGTTACCCCTTTTCGACATGACTAAATACAAAAAACCGCAAGAAATCACAACAACAAACAAATCCGTATCAATACAAAACTTTGACATTTTACAGATTGCTGGGTTTGATAGCCAAATAAAAATCTTAATGTTAGTTCCCGTTTTTCGCCACGCCCTTTCTCTTTCCGCACAGACTCTAGTATGTTTGTTTCGTACAATTAATCAAAATACTATAATGTACAATAAGTATTGACTCAGAGGAGCTCAATGGCGCAGGTGGTTAGCTGGTTCGGTCCCAATGGTCTCGCTTTCGCAATGGTCGGTCATTGGATGGGTGACCAAAAACTTATTATCTCGAGCTCCTTCGTGCTTCGGAAGGCACGCCGTTGCTCACAGCTGCATCTACGGTCGTTAGCATCCACCAATCACGTGAGTCACGGCCCAATTTCTCTTTTCCAACCATAGTCAGTGGGGACATTAATAGGCTTATGACGATGATGATGACAATATTGACAATTGACAAGATAGAGGGATCGCATCGAAGAATACAAACCAGCGGCTAGCACGGTGACAGCACCTGCTGGGACTCCCAACCCCAGCATCGGTTTCTGTCGCTCCTCCAACCATCCAACAGCGCCTACCACCAGACCCCCAATGCCGCAGACTATCTGCAACAACGACAATTTTTATTGAGGGCCATGAAAACTCACGCTAAATTCAGGGTTAAATTGCTAGAGTTGACATTTGTGATACTTCGCTGCGCAAATAAATAAAATAAATAATTATTTCCAACACTCACACCAATTAGCCTAGCCCCAAAGTAAGCAAAGTAAGGCTTGTTTTATGGGATACTAGGGTAACGGATAGAATACATATACTGTACATAAATAAGTATATTTATATAGAAATACATATTAAACATCCATGACTGGAGTACAAATGCTCGTATTCATCACACAAACCCCCCACAGGGATTCGAACCCGGGACCTCTCGAGTCGGCGACACCATGAAACCCGGAGTAAAAACCACGCAGCCACGGAGGTCGTTGAATCGTCAAATGCGGCAACATACTTGACTGCACAAGATATGCTGCGCTGATTCTTCAAAATGTGTAGTCTAACTCGCTTTACTGATTGAAGGTGTCTGCTACATATCAAGTCGGAATGGGATTGTCACCGTTTCAACTCGAGCAGTTCGGTATTCTTTATATGGAACTCCCTACTGGAACTCAGGAGAGGGCGGGGAGAGGGGGGGCTGCAAATCACAACTCCCCATGTTTAGTAAACAAAATAAAAATATAGGTCAGTAACGAATGCTTTTATATAACTTCTGCCTCCACTCCCAGCTCTTATGCCGTCCCAGGCCACAGCCCTCGTGGCTCTATGGGTAAATACGGACCTGACGGCAACACACACTATTCGGAATCGTACAGTAATCGCCTCGCCTCGGGAAGTTCGGAAAGCTCATGTTTCTTCATGAGGCGATTACGTTACGATTCCGATAAGTGTGCGTTGCAGTAGATGACGGTGATGATCCCTTTCCGAGCTGATATGTCAGCTACGACGTTTAGCGCAAGAACATTTACTGAATCAAATTATGTCTACACTAGAACCTTTTCTATTACTTAGGAGGAAAGATAATACAAGTACACCTTATTCTCCAATGCTAAGGCACATAGCTTCCCTATGGATAGATTCACACTCGGGCGCAGTGTAGACTACCCGTGCGAGTGAAATCCTGATGCAAAGATACCTGGTACTTACTGCAGAGCTATTTGTCGTATTGCTAACTACACCGACCTTACTAGCCTGCATCATACTTCGGAACTCCACAACCTTATTTACGCGGTAACAGAGACTAGTAAATGGAGCATAAGTTCATAGATGGACGCTTCATTCATTATTATTTTAATGTCTCCACTACTGGCGCACAGTCCTTCTCTATGGATGGAATAGGCAGATTGGGTCTTGACCCACCAAGAAGACCAAGTGCGGGTTGGTAGGTGCTAACGTCTACAGATGCAGCTGGGACCAACAGATTAACGTGTCCTCCGAAGCACAGAGGAGCTCGAGATTAGGTAAGGTTTTGGTCACCCATCCAATAACCGACCATCGTGAAAGTTGCTTAACTTCCCTATCGCAGGCCGACCGCGCTAATCACCTACGCCATCGAGCTCCTTACGAATCTCCATTATAAGCTAAAATGGAACTGTTTCTCAACAGTAAGGCACCTAGCCCACTCAAGTTGCCATACGAAAGTCACGCACTTGGCCGCAACGGCAAACTTTAATTAATCTGGTCGTGGGCGTTTGGGCGGTAAGTGAGTAACAGCTCATTTTTAGTTTATTTTTTGTTGTTTGTTCGTTCAGTGAACTTAGGAATCAGAACCAAAATTTCGGATTTCGAAATTCTGTGAACAATCATAGAAAAATTGACTCACGACAAGAATACTTACTTTGTTTCAGTTCTGGAATTGACTCCGTCGAGTTGAGATATGAGATGAATGTTGTTTTCATGTCCTTTAGAGTCTGAGGAATCCATTCTGGTTTCTAGGCAACAACTTCAATTACCTACTTTATTATCAGATTTTTTAACAAGTTTTTTTTTAATTTTATTTATTTATTCCCCGCCTAAAAACGTTAAAAGCTGTAACTATTTAACATTTATTAAAGGTAAATGTATCAATTATATTTTTACAACTACACCCATTATTTCTAACAATTAAAACTTTGAGTTAGTATTGTACGTTTTTTTTTGCGAAAATTTAATAAAAACGGGATGACATTTCATTTCGCTGTTAATATTTTTTATTATTTATCGTTATATTTTTTTCAAGTGTCGATTGCCTACTTTATTATCTTAAATAAGAATAAGGACTTAAGTGCTTATATCAACTGTTATTTATTTAGCGTGTACATAATAAGATCACGAATGCTGACAATGTTACATATATGATATTTCACGGAAACTTTTGTCATGTATGCTAAAGTTGTCAAGAAATTATTCTTTGTCATGTACCAAGTTTGTTGAGCATTATTTAAGAAAATCGCAGGTGTTGCTCGCTCTAGCTTGGTATTTCTGTTTATGTACGTTAATTAATTCTTTTAAGTCTCACAGAACAGAGAAATTTAAATGTCATACATAACATTGGAATGTCACGACATTATCAAATTTCTTATATTGCTTTCTGAAGTTATGTTGGTATTAAAAAAATGGTACTTAATTTTCAAAGGAAAGTTCCGCCCGCGACCTCGTCGTATTTCAAAAGAAACGGGAGTATAATCGCTTCATAGAAGGCAGTGTCAGTTTTTATTAAAGTGTGTGACAGCGCCCCCTAAACTTTCATGAAATTTCCATTTATTCTTTTCGTAAACGGCCACCATAGCCTATAGACCAGGGGTGCTCAAACTTGAACTGCTGGCGATGTACCTCAAAATTTTTAGACTACTTACGATCGACTCTGAGAGGCTGCAAGTACGTGTGATGCAGGGTTGTCGTACATACGTTCTTGGTTATTTGACTATTTGACAATTTTATTTTTTTTATTTATTTATTCAGAAAACCAACAGCGTAACAAAAAAATTTTTTTTTACATACTTTCTAATACTAAGGCTAATAATAGGTTTTCTATGAAATTTACAATTGTACTAAGACGTGGGAAGACATGATCTATTGCTTATTAGCTAATACTAGTTTTATTGTGTATGATGGAGAACCAAGTACATAGTCCCTCATCACCAACTGCTCCCGGCGACCCGAGTCTTTGTTAATAGAATGAATGTAGTATATTTTTTGCCGTAATAGCATACCGAACGTATTAACTGAAATACTGCAAAACTCGCTGTTTAAATGTGTGTTTCGATATCCCGAAAAGTTCAAGTTCGTTAAATTTAGTATTATATGTACGTGCTATACGAATGAGGACATTGTTACTAGCATATCTAGTGGAATATTTAGGTGTACACAGCAAGGGAGTATGGCGTGTGCGTCGCTTAGGAGTACAAAATCCGATACCCGCTACTAAATTCGCGCAGTCCAATTGCCCATTTAAGGTGTCGAACAGTAGGCACATGTCAAGCAATACCCGCCTCTCCTCTAAGCTCAAGAGGCCATGATGTTGACATCCACTATGATATGAATCAGGGGAAATACGTTGTCGATAGTTAAGATGTTTAATAAATTTTTTTTGGATTCTCTCTAGACGATCTTTGTGTATACTATATTGGGGTGACCAAATTTGACTAGCGTATTCTAATGTACTGCGAACATATGCACAGTAAATTGATTTAATGGCGGCCATGTCACTAAAGGGTTTGCACGAACGCAGGACGAAGCCCAAGCTCTTGTAGGCCTTGTTAACAACGTGGTCTATATGAGGTGTTAAAGTCATCCTACTATCAAAAATAACTCCCAAATCTCTAATCTCCGTCACTCTTGCAATTGGGTTTTTATTGAGTGTATATTTGTAATGAATAGGCTTGCTTTTTCGTGTATATGAGATACACTGACACTTGCCTATATTGACAGTGATTTTGTTTTCCATGTAATACTTGCTAAGATTGTCTAGATCGGATTGTAGGGATTCGCAATCGCGAATATTTTTGATGCGAAGAAAAATTTTTTTGTCGTCTGCATATAACAAGTGTTCGGCATATTTTAAATGAACCCCAATGTCGTACAAGTAAGCGCTATAAAATAAAGGCCCTAGATGCGACCCCTGAGGCACGCCTGTTGGTATATCAATGAAGTTTGATCTATATCCACCCAAAACAACTGCCTGAGAGCGGTTTTCTAAATATGACTGTATCCAACGTAACAAGTCCCCGTGGATCCCCAGACTATAAAGCTTGTGAAGCAAGATGACGTGATCAACGCGATCGAAAGCCTTTTCGAAGTCCGTGTAGATCACGTCTACCTGTCCGCCGCTGTCCATATTCATCAAAGTGTAATTCACAAAGGTAGATAAATTGGTAATAGTGGAGCGACGACGAAGAAAACCATGCTGACGGTCTGATAATCCTTTGTAGATAACAGGGTAAATCGCTGCGTACACAATTTTCTCGAAGACTTTACTTATTGTATTAAGTATGGAAATTCCTCTGTAGTTTTCCACCTTTGTTTTGGAGCCTTTTTTGTGTAACGGAATAATGTGAGATTTTTTCCAAATAGTGGGAAAAGTGCCCTCAAATAGCGATCGATTAAAAATAACTGTTAGTGGAGATGCCAATGTTTTAGAGCAGTTTTTCCAAAATATTGGAGGAATGTTATCATTGCCAGCGCCCTTGGAGCAGTCCAAGTTGAATAAAGCTTTAGATACTGTTTCGACAGGAATATTTAATTTAGAAGCATGATCGATGCTCGTAGATGTTTGTTGAAACGACGGGGTGGCAGTGTTAGGTTCTCCGAAAACACTCCCAAAATAATCACTAAACGCTTCGCATATCAGAAAACCATCTGTGAGTGTAGTTGACCCTGCAATAACAGACCGAGGATAATTAGAACCTCCACGAAGTGACTTTATATATGACCAAAACATTTTGGGACAAGTTTTAACAGAGCGCTCAACGTTGTTGATGTAGCTTTGAAAGCAGGCTTCACGTACTCGGCACTGTCTTTTACGTAACAAAGAAAATTCATCATAGTCCAATAGGTTTCCGTACTTTTTCCA